ACTCACACTCACCACACTCACACTCAACACACTCACATCACACTCACACTCACACTCACACTACACTCACACTCACACTCACACTCACACTCACACTCACACTCACAATCACACTCACACTCACACTCACACTCACACACTCACACTCTCACTCTCACTCTCACTCTCACTCTCACTCTCACTCACTCACTCACTCACTCACTCACTCACTCACTCACTCACTCACTCACTCACTCACTCCTGGCCCGCAAATTATTGGGTCTAGCTATGTACTGAGTGTGTGTATTTCGCGTTGAGTGATGTACAATGACAATGGCATCCGTGGAGGAATTCTGCAATTGTTTACGTTACATCACGAAAACGCACAGCAGAACCTAACCCTGGAGCGCCGGCCTCTTTATTTACTAACTCCTCTTCATCCCCTATGGGTAATAAGGCTGAGATGAGAACTCTCCATCGTATTTAGTCCTTAGCAATATGCTGCGTCTCTCCCCATGTAGGGATGGGTACCGAGCCCCGGTATTAAACGGGCCCCGGGCCGGAATTATTAAAGACAGTGGTAGCGTTAAGCTCCGACGTTATCTGACTTTTTATCGGTACTGGAGACATTTAAAACATATATGTCATGTATTATTGCTACATGAACATTATATCGCAGTTTTAGTTTCGCCAACTCCGTTTCTAATATGCAATAAGTCTACAAAATGCGTCTATGATGTATTTTCGATCTTATTTTCGATCTTTCCAATCCAGACGAGAGAGCTCTCTCCCCCGTCTGTGTGCGAGGGGGCGGGGCAGTTTGTAAAGGTCTCCTGACTGTGTTACAGACTGTCATCCTGGTTAGTGGTTACTCTGGGTTCTGTCTTCTGTCTTCAGGACAGAGTGTTGGATGTTTTTGATAATTGGATAGAACTTGGATTCAATATTAGAGTAACTTTCTCGCTTGTGTGTTTTTTTTAAATATATTTGGCCTTTGTTTCTGTGTTTGACTGATTTACTCAATTAAAAAGGTTGATGAATTATCATCTAATGATTTGTATGATGTTTTATTTATGTTAAAGGTCACCTTGAATGATTTTAACTAATGATAATGTAGAAAAACTAATATTTTAAATTCGGGACGGTCCACATTAATTTCGGGACGGCTTAGATTGTATTTCGGGACGGTTCCGGGAGGATGGTGAAAGAAGTTAGCCGAGAGCCCTGGTTTCAGTCCACCTGGTGTTTGTATGAGTCTGACCCAGAGGGTGATCGTTAGCTCCTCGTTAAGTTAGCATTTGTTTATTTGGGTTATTAAACATCGTGAAGCTATGACTTCAGTACGGACTGTTTTAATAGAAAGGTGTCCCAGTGATGAGCGAGCGTAGCTTCAGAGACTGATCATTGGGAGTTGTGTCTCCACACATCATTTCTTGATATGGTTATAGACACGGGGGGGGGGGGGGGGGGTTCTCTGTACCTTTGCAGGATAATCATCGATGATTTTCACCAGATCCTGGCACCGGTGGAGGAGAGGTTTGGTGGTCGAGTCGTTTCTCAGATTAGCCTGGAGAAACATCACGAGACACTCATGAGCATATTGAGAGAATCACAGGAGACACGTACAGATTGAACTGTGATGTCACTACTCAGACAAAAGGTATCAGCTTATCGATCTGACAGTAGAAGAATCACTTAAAGTCACTCAGATATTTTCTAATATGGGACATTCAATACAAAGGTATAACACTTCAAGAGTGAGTTCAAACACTTGTTGTCATTTATGAGTAGCTTAGGTTGCTTATAAACTATTTACAATTAAGATATGTTAGCGAAAGCAACACATTTTCATATATTTGAAGCAGTTTTGATGTTAATAACTCAGATTTGGGTGACATTTTAAACGACAGCAGCATTAGTTGTGCCAGTTCTTGATCCACGACAGAAATGATCACCAACACTATATTGTTTTACACACTGCACCCATTCGGTTACATTCATACTGTTATATCTATGTATACACTCTACCCTGCTGTTTATATATCTTATCTAGTTTTAGGTTCATCATGCACTTTTATTCTGGGACAGGAATTCAGTTTCTATTTTACATTTTGTTATACGCTGGTTTTTATCTTACATGTTTGATTGTTTGTATAGTTTCTTAATATGTAAGTGTGGTGAGCTAAAGGTAAGAATTTCATTTGACAGTGCGACTGCTTGTTATACTGTATATACAGGGGTTCAATTGTGCCGGGGCTGTCCGGGGCTCAGCCCCCACACATAGGACGATGCTCTGACGTCATCACCCTCGCTCATTTGTTTAAGCCATATGTTAAAACATCTCCCGTTCTTAATATAGACTTTATTTAGGGTCGATATGTGTTGACTTTACTTTAAAATAGCAGATCTCTGTGACAGGATATCGTTTTTCCGCTTAGTGAACGTGTGTCTCTGCTCCGATCAGGAGCTGCAGCACCGCGGCTCCTTCGTGCAGAGTCTGCAGCTGTGTGCGTGTGCGTGTGTGTGTGTGCGTGTGGAGAGGCCGGTTCTAACCAATTTGCTGCCCTAGGCGAGATTTTAACATTTATTTATGCATATTTTTGTATCTCTCAAGTTTTAAATGATATGTCTGGTTTACTGTCCTATAGTATACATTGAAATGATTTCAAACCTGTTTATCCTAATAATTATCAAGGAGTGCCTTGGAAATATTTGTTTACATAAATTACATTTATCTCTCTTGCTCGATCCCACGCCCACTTTGGCTGTGAGCAGCGGGCGCCTGATAAGCCAACACCCCCCACTTTCATCACTTACAGCGCCCATCGTACAGGGCAAATGAAAAGTGTAACCGGGGTGAAAAGGGTGTTACATTTACTTAATTATGAATGTTGTTACATCAAGGCCAAAAATTAGGATGAGCACCAACGGTCAAAAATGTTTTTTTCTCTCCCAGAGCTGCCAGCACAGCGCCCCCCAGATCTGGCGCCCTAGGCGACCGCCAAAAACCGGCCCTGACTTAAAGGTGGGGTAGGTAAGTTTGAGAAACCGGCTCGAGATACACTTGTTGTTATATTCCATGGAATGCTCTTAACATCCCGATAGCAATGAATATCTGAAGTGCTTTGACAAAAAATCCATAAATAAATATCATCTGAGGAAGCTGTAGTACTGTAAAAAGCACGACCAATCATCTGAGCCGGCCCGGCTAAAATAACTGGATGGCCTACCTGCCTGTCAGCCTTCCATCTGTGCACAAACTTATCTCGTGCCCTCATTGGTCATGTGCGCGTTCGTGTGTGTTGGAGGAGGGGCTCTGGAAGGAAGTGGCAGATTTTCCGGTTGTGTATTTTCAAATTCTAGCGCACTCGAGCTGGGTTGCGGTCGAATAGTCCATTTCTCTTAGGAACCTTCCTAACGGAGTGAAATGACCCGGAAGTCCCTCAGTGGCAGCCATGATAAGTGCCGTTCGAATTCTCTAAATGAAAGGAAAGGAGGTTTCAAACTTCCTTAATAACCTCCTTTAGCTTAGGAACCACTGGACCTCCCTAACCGAAAGGAGAGGAGAAAATGCTGCCCCACAATGCCTTGCGGCCGCCGCATTTGCCGTCACACAACAGTCGGCCGTTCACGGAAACAACCGATTATGACCGAGAAATGATATCATGAAAGTTACGGTGCTTATTAAGCATTTTAAAACGTATGTGGTAAGTTGCCAAAGTGCTTTGTTTTGAACGTTCATCAGTATTATAATCAAAAAGAGAAATATGAACGTTAGTTTTTACTGAAATGATCAAATAAAGTCAACATTTCACAGTCTTTACTGAGCTGTGTGGGGTTTGTTCAACTTTTAAAAGATGTTTGAATGGTGATATACACAGTGATAGATGTTAAGGACTAACGTTTATAATAAATACATTTGTATTGATTTTAAGATCTTTTCATACAATCATACGTATTGGGATCATTTGTATTAATGTGGACCGGAGGGAGAGGGTGACGAGCATAAGTTTCACTTTCCTTTTTTATTTCAATTCCAACTTTGGTCATGAAGAATATGTTTCTCTGTTGTCCCCGTTCATAAAGCATAAAACAACAGCATCAGAGCACGGTGCAGAGTCTCTAGATGAGTTTACAGTAGTCCCTCGTTCTTATTAAACATCCATGTTGTAGTCCGCTGTATAGAAAACTGTAGTTTCCATAGTTTCCCCACAGCAGCAGCAGGCGCACATTTATGACCTCCGCTGGCGCATCATAAACACGTCGGATAGTGAAAGTGCAGTCGATTCTCTAAAGTACCGCAGTCTCTTCTCCTAAGTCCTTTTGAATTCTCCTATCCACTATCCCTTAACCCCGTGACCTTTCACTCAGAGGAGAGGAATAGACGATAGGGTTAGAACTTAGGAGCTGATTTTTGGGTTATTCGACCGCAACCCTGGTTTCTCCAAAATTACCTACCCCACCTTTAAGTTAACAACTTATTTAATTTGTTATCACAATTAATAATGTCATGTTTTTTTTTATTCTTGAAGAGAATGTCTTTTTTTCTGGCATTCTTCCAGGATTAACAAAATAATAATAACATTGACAAAAATCTTTGAAGTAAATGGCTGTTGTTAAACGCTTCCCACATTTACTTCAATCGTACAGTAGAAAAGATAAAAGTATCCAAGGAATACACAATAGAATATATAAAGAATAAATGAAGAATCTCTACAAAAGACAAATACACTACAAAAACTGAAACTTATTGACATAGGTAATATACATCAACAAGGCTTCAAATGTATTCAGTATTGTATGAACATGTTTTAATTGGGGGGTGGACGTCACATCCTCAAGGGGGGTCCGGGGGTCTGCCCCCCTGGGAAGAAATGTTTGAAAATGTAAAGTAAAATGCTTCAATCTGGAGCACTTTAAGCACACATTACTAGAGACTAGATCTAGGGGGTACAACTCTAAACAGAAACACCCATATGAAAAAGATCGGTTTACATTTTAATAACCAAATATGTGAACATAACCAATAACCTACCATAGCCAATAACAAATAAATGTAACTTATTTTATTTTTGTTGTTCATTCATATCTTATTTTACCTAGTTAACATTTATTTATGCATATTTTTATATCTCTCAAGTTTTAAATGATATGTCTGGTTTACTGTCCTATAGTATACATTGAAATGATTTCAAACCTGTTTATCCTAATAATTATCAAGGAGTGCCTTGGAAATATTTGTTCACATAAATTGCATTTATCTCTCTTGCTCGCTCCCACGCCCACTTTGGCTGTGAGCAGCGGGCGCCTGATAAGCCAACACCCCCCACTTTCATCACTTACAGCGCCCGTCGTACAGGGCAAATGAAAAGTGTAACCGGGGTGAAAAGGGTGTTACATTTACTTAATTATGAATGTTGTTACATCAAGGCCGAAAATTAGGATGAGCACCAACGGTCAAAAATGTTTTTTCCCTCCCAGAGCTGCCAGCGCAGCGCCCCCCCCCCCAGATCTGGCGCCCTAGGCGACCGCCAAAAACCGGGCCTGTAGACCATGCTAAATGTATGTCTGCAGAAAGCTGAGTTATGATCGGTCATAATAACACAGAATTTGGTGATGATTAAATAGCTTACAGTGAGATTTACTCCCATATTTTTGGCCATACTCACGCAGCCCTACAAATGAATTGAGATTTCCACACAAATGTTCTTTAGCAAGTGTGCAGAGCAGTGTTGATTTAAAAAAGCAATTTGAAGGTTGGATATTTGTAAACCTTTTTTTGTGTATATATATTAATAATTTAAGATGTAAATGAATTCCAGTTTATTTGTAGTACTTTCTATTTTTATTGTGACATTTGGTGGCATCAATGTGTGTTTGATACAGATAATGGAGCAGTTGCTTTAGGGCCACAGTGTATATCCCTTAAGGTCAAATAATGAGATCCTCGACCTCCGCCCCCCCACATATCAAATCCCAACTTAACCCCTGTGTATATATGACAATAAAACATATTGATCAATGATGTGATAATGACTCACCAGCAGGAAACTGGGCTGTTGTAACGTTGGAGCAGCCATGTCGGACGCTGCTGTTGATTCCTTCCTCGATACAGTCCACTATAATCCTACCAGGAGGACACACACACACACACACACACACACACAGACACATTTCATTTCCACAGTTGAAGTTAGCTGGCGACACAACCTAGCATAGCATAACTCTGTTAGCCTGTTCAGCAGAAACACAAACTATTTAACAAATGCTGAGGAGACGTGATGATAACTGTGTTCTGTTCTTTATATATAAAGTCTATGGTTCTGTTATCTCACCACAACGTCTCCCATTGACTGGCAGAGGTGGGAAGTAACTAAGTACATTTACTCAGGTATTGGACTTAAGTACACTTCTGAGGTACTTGTACTTTACTTGAGTATTTCCATGTTATGCTACTGTGTGCTTCTACTCTACTAATACTTTTACTTGAGTAACATTTTGAATGCAGGACTTTTATTGTACTTCTACTTTTACTCAATCACAAGATCTGAGTACTTCTACTTTTACTGAAGTACAAGATCTGAGCACTTCTACTTTAACTGAAGTATAAGATCTGAGTACTTCTACTTTAACTGAAGTATAAGATTTGAGTACTTCTACTTTAACTGAAGTATAAGATCTGAGTACTTCTACTTTAACTGAAGTATAAGATTTGAGTACTTCTACTTTAACTGAAGTATAAGATCTGAGTACTCCCCCCTCTGTATTTGATGCATTCGTATTAACCTCCATTGAACAAAATCTCCAACAGTCAATGAAACATGCAAGTTAGCATCGGCTAGCTAACTGTAGCTAACCAACAACGAGATCTAAACTGAAGCAGCGGCGGGGAAGTCACGTGGTTCACTTTACACACATTTAGATTCAACCTTTACTCGCTAAAGTGAGTAGATATTTACCTTCTCCGCTAGAGGGAATTAAATATCTCGACTTGTTTCCATGAAGCGCGTTTCCATCAGTGAGGTTCAAATCATTATCCGTTGACGTCTTCTTCGTTGGTGTTTGTGTTGGTGGTGACGCTGTAAGCACTTCACTGCCCCCTGCTGGAGGAACTGAGCTACTGCAATATGTCAATAATAAAATAGTAATAATAATAAAAAGTATTATTAAAACGATAATTAAGTATACTAATAACAATAATATAATGCTAATAAGAACAATAATACAAATAGTAATAATAATAATACTTCTTAATATTAAGAAGTATTATTAAGAATGTTAAGATCTTGTACTTGAGTAAAAGTAGAAGTACTCAGATCTTGTTCTTGAGTAAAAGTAGAAGTACTCAGATCTTGTACTTGAGTAAAAGTAGAAGGACTCAGATCTTGTACTTGATTGAAAGTAGAAGTACTCAGATCTTGTACTTGAGTAAAAGTAGAAGTACCAGAGTGTAGGAATACTCTGTTACAGTAAAAGTCCTGCATTCAAAATGTTCTTCAAGTAAAAGTATAAAAGTATTCTCATCAAAATATAGTGAAAGTAGCGACAGTAAAAGTAGTCATTGTGCAGATTGGTCCATTTCAGAATAATATATATGATATGTTTTATAATGATTGATCATGAAAGTGTTCTCAAAGCTGGTAAAGGTGCAGCTAGTTTGAATGACTTTGTATACTGCAGGGTAGCTTGTGAATTTACTCCAGGTGGAACTAACGTCTGATTTAACACTTGATTATATTTCACATCATTCATCCACATCTGTAAAGTAACTAAAGGTATTAAATACATGTAGTGGAGGAAAAGTACATCATTTACCTCTGAACTGTAGTGGAGTAGAAGTACACAGTAGCATAACATGGAAATACTCAAGTAAAGTACAAGTCCCACCTCTGTCGATACATATAGGCTATATAATTTTTTTGCCTGTTTTTTATTTGTAACCCAGGCAATAGGAGATGTTTTAATAATCTGATATAAAGTTAGTGTGACAGCTGGTTCATGAGACACCATTATCATCTGCAGGTGTGTCCGAACATATAAATTTAGATTTGGTTATGAAGGATCCTCAGTGATGATTTGTTTTTCATCTCCTCAGATTAGAGATATTCTTCTTAACAGTGACGACAGTGATGATGATGATGACGATGAAGATGCTTCAGGAGCAGTGGCGTTTTTATATGTACAAAAGTGGTGGGGCACAAAAAACTTAGATGTCTATATATAAGCTTCTGCAGTGACGTGCAGTGAGGTTCATGGCTGGTGAGGCACTGGCACTGACTCTTCAGGTTTACAAATATTATATTTTGACCTAAACCAAAATATAATATTATTTTCAAAAGCTTTTTTTGTCTGATGCTTCGATTAATTTTAAACAGACAGTTCAACAAAAGGATACCCAAAAAATGTCATTTTATCATTTAAATATTGAATTGTTCTCTCTTAGTAAGATCCCATTTTCAATAAAATGGCGGTCTTACCTTGACTTGAAGATGAAGTCCATTTGCCTATCCTTCTGGACAAAAATGTCTATAACTTTTTTGTAAAAGTCCTCCTTATGTTCTTGTAGTTTCAAAAGTCTATCATAAATCTAATCCATAGATTTATGATAAAAAAATTATATAAGTAGGGTAGACATGTGGAGGTTATCCGGCTGAACAAAACGTGCATTTATCTAACAGGTACGTTTCCCACAGATCTTATTTCCAGCTATTTTCTAAAATCCTCTGGAGAAATCTCATTGTTTTTTTGTCGAGGGAAGCCATGCGCAGCTTACTTCCTGGTTTTAGGACGCGCCACTGCAGCTCTCTCGTCTCCTCTTCACACACCACACTTTTCGCGGCACACGTACTTACAGCCAATCAGCTCTGAATGATTTGAGATGACGTATGGTGGGGATGGTAGCTCCATGCCCCTCTGGTCATTATTTTTTTGCCACACACATTTCATTACAAAATACTCTGAGCATGCGCAGTGAAGTTTTTACAGTCACCGTTGACTTCACAGCGAGAGGAAGGGGCATGATCAGGTTTTGTCCCACATGGCTCTAAACAGCTCAATAGGCACACACTGTGACTGTAGACACTAATTAGAAGAACACAGACTAAAACAGCAATGTACAGACGAATCAGATGATTAAACATGATCTTAAAATATATTTTATATATATATATATTTTTTTTTTTGCATTGTTGTAATCATTATTTGTAATACTTTCTGCTGACACTAGGTGGGGCTGTGCCCCACCTGCCCCTAATGACCAGTCGCCACTGTTCAGGAGACTCGGACGATTCGTTCAGAACTACTGATGGATCCGGATCATCATTTGAGAACCCCTTTGATTGTGAGTAACAGTAGTATCATTAGTGTCTACTTTAAAGAGTCCTCTCCTGCTGATGTTCAGGTGTATATCAGTATGTAGTGTCTCTACTTTAAAGAGTCCTCTCCTGCTGATGTTCAGGTGTATATCAGTATGTAGTGTCTCTACTTTAAAGAGTCCTCTCCTGCTGATGTTCAGGTGTATATCAGTATGTAGTGTCTCTACTTTAAAGAGTCCTCTCCTGCTGATGTTCAGGTGTATATCAGTATGTAGTGTCTCTACTTTAAAGAGTCCTCTCCTGCTGATGTTCAGGTGTATATCAGTATGTAGTGTCTCTACTTTAAAGAGTCCTCTCCTGCTGATGTTCAGGTCATATCAGTATGTAGTGTCTCTACTTTAAAGAGTCCTCTCCTGCTGATGTTCAGGTGTATATCAGTATGTAGTGTCTCTACTTTAAAGAGTCCTCTCCTGCTGATGTTCAGGTGTATATCAGTATGTAGTGTCTCTACTTTAAAGAGTCCTCTCCTGCTGATGTTCAGGTGTATATCAAGATGTAGTGTCTCTACTTTAAAGAGTCCTCTCCTCCTGATGTTCAGGTGTATATCAGTATGTAGTGTCTCTACTTTAAAGAGTCCTCTCCTGCTGATGTTCAGGTGTATATCAGTATGTAGTGTCTCTACTTTAAAGAGTCCTCTCCTGCTGATGTTCAGGTGTATATCAGTATGTAGTGTCTCTACTTTAAAGAGTCCTCTCCTGCTGATGTTCAGGTCATATCAGTATGTAGTGTCTCTACTTTAAAGAGTCCTCTCCTGCTGATGTTCAGGTGTATATCAGTATGTAGTGTCTCTACTTTAAAGAGTCCTCTCCTGCTGATGTTCAGGTGTATATCAGTATGTAGTGTCTCTACTTTAAAGAGTCCTCTCCTGCTAATGTTCAGGTGTATATCAGTATGTAGTGTCTCTACTTTAAAGAGTCCTCTCCTGCTGATGTTCAGGTGTATATCAGTATGTAGTGTCTCTACTTTAAAGAGTCCTCTCCTGCTGATGTTCAGGTGTATATCAGTATGTAGTGTCTCTACTTTAAAGAGTCCTCTCCTGCTGATGTTCAGGTGTATATCAGTATGTAGAGTCTCTACTTTAAAGAGTCCTCTCCTGCTGATGTTCAGGTGTATATCAGTATGTAGAGTCTCTACTTTAAAGAGTCCTCTCCTGCTGAAACTCCTGGGAGTGTGATACAAGTGAACCGACACTTCAAACCTCCTGAATTATATTATTCCTGGGTAAAAGTATAAAGGTATTCTCATCAAAATATAGTGAAAGTAGCGACAGTAAAAGTAGTCATTGTGCAGATTGGTCCATTTCAGAATAATATATATGATATGTTTTATAATGATTGATCATGAAAGTGTTCTCAAAGCTGGTAAAGGTGCAGCTAGTTTGAATGACTTTGTATACTGCAGGGTAGCTTGTGGATTTACTCCAGGTGGAACTAAAGTCTGATTTAACACTTGATTATATTTCATATCATTCATCCACATCTACATCACTGCACGGCACGTAAACATCCATTCATTTATATGTAAAGTTTCTGTACTGGTTAGTTATAATCGTAATATAAACGTTCTTAGCTAAATAAACCAAACTTTATATTGCACAATCATTTAAAACCTTTGAATGTTTCTACGTTTTTATTTGTACAACATGTTGTGGTTTATTCACATACAGTAAAATAACACAATTTACATTTATTGATCTCAAAGCTTCTTCGTCCAAACAGCTGTAATCCTGCTTATGAGAAACACACACGTTTATGTAAAAATGTACTAAAATTCAAACTTACAAAGAAGAAAACTATCAAAAATAGAGTTCTTTAATATACATGTGAATAATATGTATTAGTTACAAGGCAGAGTTATTAATAAGCTTTACATTATAAGGTCCATTTAATGTGTGCGTCTCCACTGAAGTCCATATCGATCAATACATGTATACGATTAAGAGTCAGAACCAACATAAATACATGTTTAAACAAAGGGCAAACTTTAGTCTTCTGTCTTTAAAGGTAGGGTAGGTAAGTTTGAGAAACCGGCTCGAGATACACTTGTTGTTATATTCCATGGAATGCTCTTAACATCCCGATAGCAATGAATATCTGAAGTGCTTTGACAAAAAATCCATAAAAAAATGTCATCTGTGGAAGCTGTAGTACTGCAAAAAGCACGACCAATCATTTTAGCCGGCCCTGCTAAAATAACTGGATGGCCTACCTGCCTGTCAGCCTTCCATCTGTGCACAAACTTATCTCGTGCCCTCATTGGTCATGTGCGCGTTCGTGTGTGTTGGAGGAGGGGCTCTGTAAGGAAGTGGCAGATTTTCTCCGGCTGTGTATTTTCAAATTCTAGCGCACTCGAGCTGGTTTCTCCAAAATTACCTACCCCACCTTTTAATTATATATAGTTTACAAGTTTCTGTCTGGGAGTGAGACCTAATACCGGATTCTAGCTTGTTAGTTTTGCACATTTAGGCCCAGTTCCAAACCGCCCCCGACACCCTCTGTAATAAAGGCCCAATTCCAGTTACAAACAGTTCAAACATGTACTGATAAACTGCACAACAAGATTTCATATCGGCTACAGATGTTAACAACCAGGGGCGCCGCTTGCGAACAGGCAAGGCAGGCAACTGCTTGGGGCCCCGGACCAGAAGGGGGCCCCCAAAGAAGGTAGATTAAGAAGGTCCACAGCAACGACAACATGAAACACCCTTTAATTTACTGCAACGACACGTCGGGAAACCCCCTCAAGGGGGCCCCATGCATAGCGCGCCGTAGAATGCTGCTTCTTATCTTAAGTTTCGTTGCCTTGCTCCGCTCCGGGGGGGAGGGGGGGTGCTGTCGGCTGTGCGTGGTGATGAAAAGCTGGTTCGAGGGGCCCCCCATTGAATGTTTGCCTAGGGCCCCCACATACTCTAGAATCGCCACTGTTAACAACTTCATGGTTACCTCGTATTGTTTTCAAACTTAGGATCATACACTCGTGTTTAGTTTAGAAAACGGTAAATGTTGTGTATATTTACACTGGTGCAAAAACCAGGCAGCCTTTAAACATCCGATTTCAAAACATATAGACGTTTACATAAAAGAAACGCCATTAAAGATTTTGGGAGTTTTCTTTTTGTTATTCTTTGTCCAAGAGATGCTCATTTGAAACCGCTGTTATACGAAAAGTTATGGCATTTCCCTCCATCTGGAAGACATCGTAACAACGGTTTCAAATCAGCATCTCTTGGACAAAAAAAAAAAACTAAAATAAATCCTCAAAAAGTCACATTTACCGTTTTCTAGACTCAACACGGGTACATGATCCTTAAAAACAATACGAGGTAACATACACACAGCGTTGAGTCGGTCAGGTGGAGCAGCAGGTGACGTCAGCCTCTCTGTTGGATAGGGTGTAGGGGGCGGTTTGGAACAGGGCCTTCATCTCAGCTATTTCACTGGTTGTATAAAAAATTACAGAAATACAGAAATCATCCCTTCTTTATTCCAAAACGGATTTAACGACACAGTCCCCTCCAAAGCTACTGGAACAGTGACGCCGTTCCAGTAGCTTTGGAGGGGACTGTATGTCCTCTTCGTGTGCTGGACCTGTTGTCCCTGAGCAGTGTCTCTGTCCTTCAGGGCTCTAGAGAGGCCCCTCGGGGGGGTTGTGCCTCCTCACCCGGGCCTTCCTGCTCTCCTGCTTCAGCTTCAGCGCTCTCAGTTTCTGCTGCCGGCGTTTCTCCCGGTACCAGAGCTGCTCGCAGTACTCGTCCATGCTCAGACTGTTGGTATGCAGCTCCTTGTAGCTCTTCAGAGGACCCAGGAACCCCCTGCCGATTGGGACGCTGCCCGGCTGGTTGGGGCTGAGGTTCTGCTGGAAGTGGGTTGTTGTCTGCAGGAAGAGGTGGAGAACAAATACTTCGTTACTGTACTTAAAGTTCTCCTATCATGCTATTTGTAGGCATATATTATGGGTCTCAGATATATACAAATATATAAAAAACATGTCTGATGTTTCTGTATCAGAGTCACTGCATCCAGAGGTGGGAAGTAGTGGAGTACAAATACTTCGTTACTGTACTTAAGTACATTTTTCTGGTATCAGTACTTTACTCCACTACTTACTTTTCTTTTTACTTTGACTTCTTACATTTTGAACCCAAATACCTGTACTTTCTACTTCTTACATTTTGAACCCAAATACCTGTACTTTCTACTTCTTACATGTTGAACACAAATACCTGTACTTTCTACTTCTTACATGTTGAACACAAATACCTGTACTTTCTACTTCTTACATGTTGAACACAAATACCTGTACTTTCTACTTCTTACATGTTGAACACAAATACCTGTACTTTCTACTTCTTACATGTTGAACACAAATACCTGTACTTTCTACTTCTTACATGTTGAACCCAAATACCTGTACTTTCTACTTCTTACATTTTGAACACAAATACCTGTACTTTCTACTTCTTACATGTTGAACACAAATACCTGTACTTTCTACTTCTTACATGTTGAACCCAAATACCTGTACTTTCTACTTCTTACATGTTGAACACAAATACCTGTACTTTCTACTTCTCACATGTTGAACCCAAATACCTGTACTTTCTACTTCTTACATGTTGAACACAAATACCTGTACTTTCTACTTCTTACATGTTGAACCCAAATACCTGTACTTTCTACTTCTTACATGTTGAACACAAATACCTGTACTTTCTACTTCTCACATTTTCCAAACAGGCTGGTTCCTTTAGTTTGAATGTGTGTTTGGTGGTGTGATCATTATTATTTAGAGTCATTGCGTGCCTATTGATTTGAACACGATCCGTGTATCCATCATTTCCTGGTCTTCTCTAAAGAAGAGGGACCAATGAAAACGTTGTCATGTTGCCGTTGTTCAGCATGGAAACATTCATTAGCTAACAATGACATTATTGTTCTATTAATATAAAGGGAGGTCAGGTACTCTTTAAAACAGCTGCTAGTTATGGGTACTTTTTACTGAAGTACATTTCAAAGCCTCTTTACTTTTACTTGAGTAAAGAAGTTTAGTCAGTACTTCTACTTTCACCAGAGTATTTGTAAACACGAGTATCTGTACAGGATGAGTACCTTGGCCCTCTCTGGCTGCAGGGTGCTGCTGGACAGCACGTGGAGCTGGTACCGGGCCAGGACCTGGCTGTAGGAGCGCTCCAGGCTGGAGCAGGTGTAGAGGCCGGAGTCAGAGACCTGCAGGCGCTGAACCAGCAACCCTCGATTCAGATAGAGGGAGCGGCCGCCGTCAGGAAGCAGCTGAGGAGGGAGGAGGATGAGAGGATGATGATAGGGAGGGAGGAAGATCAACAGATAAGATAAGAAGTACTTTATTGATCCCAATTTGGGAAATGTTTGCGTTGCAGCAGCATAAAAAGACAAGGCATGAGGAGGATGATGATGAAGTTGGCTGACTTTCTCACATGCACATTTAAGATAAGATAAGATGGAACTTTACTTATCCCCGTGGGGTTTATAGCAGCATCAGGTTCAGAGTGAAAAACAGGATTCACACAAGGTAAACAAGAAAGATAAAATAGAATACAAATAAGGGGCTAAAGGATTGATTGCCTTTGGATTGTTCAATATATTTACAGTGTGCAGATACTGTGAGCATGGAAAACAGTTTGAGTGTTTATTCCATGTCCTCGATATCTGACTGCATTTACTTCTACTAGTCTTTCTTCTTTATCAACCATAAAAATACAAACTCAAAACCATTCTGAGTGTTCTCAACAGATATGAGAAGCTTTTGTTTTCTTGACCTATGACTTTATCCTGTTGTACTTATACTAATACTTGTCATGCCAAAATGTGTACTAATTACCTAGGAAAGTGACTTGTGACTTCACTAGTTGACTAGTCATACATACTTTCTTTAACTAATCAACTAGTGTGACACATTTATTAGCTTTCTGTGCAGTTTGGCTTTCAGTAGTTTACTAGTTAATGTTTTGGACTTCACTATAGTGTACAGTAACTAGTTGACATTTTAGACATTCATTAACTATAAAGGTCAAAAGAGGCTTAAACTATTTAATTACTGAACATTTGAATTTATTCACATTTTCTTCTTGGGAATATTCATATTATCTTTGAGATATTAGCCTGATGTCTGCTGGATCAGGCTTTAAAGGTGCGTCTCACCTGTGTGTTTTGACTCAGCGTCTGACTCTCTTTCGGCTGGACCGTCCACCGGATCTCCGCCTGCCCCGACCGGGGAACACAGTCCAGGAAGGAGGAGTTCCCCTCCACCCCGAACACCGCCTGCAGCTCCACAGAGGCCGAGGCTGGAGAGGAGGAGCATCACAGAGACAGAAATATGTTCAGTGTTTGTGAGCAAAGACAGAGCTTTTTGTTTTTAAGATGTTCAAAATAAATCTGGAAAATTATGTTTTATCAGAAAGGCAATATTATTTATTTATTATCATTATTATTTATTGTCTTTTTTAATGTATTAGTTCAATATTTATTTGGGTTGTCTATATATGTTTTTATCTTCATTATCATTACATTATTTATACATATGTCTGCATTTTCCTGCCACCCGTTTGTCTGAGGAGCTGCAGTTACTCCGTAAAGCCTCTAGAGGGCGCCCTACTCCTTCTTTCAGAGCAGAATGCTATGTAAAATATACACATAGTAAATCCAGTAAGTATCAAGTAAATATATATAAATATATTTACTTGTTACTTTCAGGAGGTAATATAAAGTTGTTTGCATAATGGTAGTTGGAAAAAAAGCAATAATAACTGTGTTTATCCTGTGTTTGTGAGAACTAATAACTAATGAGAACCACATTGCAAACACACACACTGACCAATACATGAAGACAGGAACACATTACACACACACACACACACACACACACACACACACACACACACACACACACACACACGCACAGAAACAGAGGCTGTTAAAATCAGACGGAGGAAATCCTCACCGTCTTCTGTGATTGGACACTGACTCCAGGGGTCTCCGTGCTTCACATCCTGTCTGCGTGCCCGCCTGACACACACACACACACACACACACACACACACACACACACACACACACACACACACACACACACACACACACACACACACACACACACACACACACACACACACACACACACACACACACACACACACACACACACACACACACACACACACACGTTACAGTCTGAGTCTTGCACTAATGTACATTCACAAAATATTGAAGTGACTGTTATTTTGTATATATTGATTGTTGTGTATATATAGGTATGTACATCTTTTTATACATATTTTTATATATCTTTGTTAGCGTATTCGGGATTGTGGGAAACTGTATTTCGATCTCTGTGTACACACAAACTGAAAGATTGCCCCCCATGTCCAACAGAGTGTGTGTGTGTGCGTGTGTGTGTGTGTGTGTGTGTGTCTGTGTGTGTGTGTGTGTGTGTGTGTGTGTCATCCTAAACACTAGAGAAACGCTTAATGAATGCAGGCATTTTACAATTTCCTTAATTGGGTTCACCTACTTAAGGAAAAGAGATGGTTATACGGGTTTTATATATTATATATTGCCCCCTCTTCAAATCAGACTGTCCCTAACGACCTCTCGTGGCTAATTGGATGTGTAGATATACATGTGTAAATGTGTATATATTTATATAATTTTGTTTATATATGTGTGTATTTATATACATACACACATGGAAACCAAAAAAAGCAGTGTCCCTTATGGCCTCTCGTGGCTAATTGCTTGATTGGCTAATGAACCCCTGTCTCACTTCTTGCTGGAGGGGAAGTATCTGGAGCAGGTGGTCCCGTCCCAGGAGCAGTAGGGGTCTCTGGCCAGGCAGCAGCCAGCGCAGCCCCCCCCGTACAGATCACACCTCTGGAGCTCCAGCTGCACCACGCCCTGTGAGCTGGAGACATACAGCTGCCTCTGTGGGGGCGGGGGGGAGAGGTAATTAAGATTAAGATTAATACGTTCGTAAAGCTTGAATGAACCTACTCTGAATAAATATGATGAATACACGTAGACACCAACGCAGTCTCACAAAAAAACGTGTCGACGCTACGTTGGTCGACAGGGCAAAACGTAGTATATTCACAAATAACCCTCTCAAAACGTGAC